CACAGACCCCTGCACCAGGTGTCCCTCCCCCACAGACCCCTGCACCAAGTATCCCTCCCTCACAGACCCCTGCACCAAGTGTCTCTCTACCATAGACCCCCCCCTCCTGTACCAGGTGTCCCTCCACCACAGACACCCTCCCTGTACCAGGTGTCCCTCTCCCACAGATTCTTGCACCAGGTGTCTCTCCCCCACAGACCATCCCATGCTCCAGGTGTCCCTCCCCCACAGATGCCCCCCTGCACCAGGTGTCCCTCCCCCACAGACCCCACACACACACACCAGGTGTCCCTCCACCAACATGTACTTCAAGCCTCACTCAGGCTATGTGGTGAGATGACACCTGCCACTTCTGTCTCCTCAGCCATGGCGTTCTTGCTGCCGATTGCTCATACTCTGTGGGCCTATATCCCAGGCTGTGCCACACACAGTCAGGGCCCTTCCGCACCCCACCCCCAGCCTGCACATTGAAAGGCAGCAGGGCAGTCCACAGTCACCCTGTCCTGGGCTTTAGTGTCCAAAGTGTCCCCCTTCTTGGCCCTTCCGTTGCCTGCCACATCCAGGAAGATGTTTGTATGCGTTGCTTTTGCTATGACAAAGCACCCGAGAAAAGTGAGTCACAGACGATGTATTAGGGTTTATCATTTTAGGGATGCAGTCCACACCGGGGGGGGGGGGGGCGGAGACGTGGCAATGAGAGCAGGAGGCAGTAGTCACCTCACACCATAGTCCTAAAGCAGAAAGACATGAATGCTGGCCCTCAGCTGGCTTCCCCTTGTCTGTCAAAAGAAAGACCCTTCTAGATGCACCCAGAGCTGGCTCCTAGGTGATGCCCCAAACCAGCCAAGGTGGCAGTGAAGACAGACAGACATCACAGCGTTCATGCTTCGAGTTGGACGTTTCAAGCCTTTCTACCCACCTTTCCTTCCCACGCATCTAATGCTCAGGTCTCCTCTTAAGCATGGGCTGGGATCTTGCCTGGGTTGTCCTTTACTGCCTATAATGATCACACTGTTAAGCCTGTCCAGCACTTTGGGGATAATTTTCCAGTGTGTGCAGAAACCGTTCCTGCTGTTGCAGTTAATAAGTCAATAGAGAAAAGGAGAGTATTTGCATGCACTCACATGCGCTCCTTGTTTGTAAGGCTGCCTGAACCACGGGGTGAAGCCTCTGTAGGCACTGGAGCTGCGGCTTGGGCTCCCAGCCTCAGCCTTGTCTCCTCAGCCCTTGCTCTGGCAACATTTCCATGTTGGTATTTACCCTGAAGTCTGTCCTCTGCAGTGCCTCCCTCATGTGGCTTCGAGCTGTTACAAATCAGCTTCCAGGCAGCAGGAACAGGCGTGCACAGCCCTAAGAGGAGGCGGGGCTAATAGGCAGACTGAAAGGTTGCAGGAAAGCTTGGGGAAGAAGCGACTTAAGATCTACAGGGAACTCAGAGGCTTCAGCCCTTGCCCAGTGGGATGATAGGAGCACAGAGTGCCACAGGCTCTCAGCTCTAATGGCACCAAAGGCACCTCCCTTGTAATAACACCCCAACATCTCCACAGTCAGGACCTCACTGAATCTACTGACCTCAGTGGGCAGCTATCAGAATCCCTCTTTCTGGGCATGTACCCGAAATTCTACCACAGCTGGCACAGAGGCCGTGGGTCTCCTCCAAATCAGATGGATACTCAGCTGCTCCCCAAGTGAGCACAACCGTCCCTCTGTCTCCTAGGCCACCATGATGAAGCCCTGGCAGTAGCAGAAAGAGGCCGGACGAGGGCATTTGCTGACCTGCTGGTGGAAAGACAGACCGGACAACAGGACTCCGACCCCTACTCACCCATCACCATCGATCAGATCTTAGAGGTGGTTAATGCCCAGCGGGGACTAGTGCTGTACTACTCCCTGGCCGCAGGCTACCTCTACAGCTGGCTGCTTGCTCCTGGAGCAGGTAAGGTCTCTATTGAAGCTCAGGGAGTGAGGAGGTGGAGGAAGGCCGAGGGGGTTGCTGAGGGGCGCCACACAGGACAGATGAAGGAAAACCTTATCCGCAGTGGATATCCATGGTGGGGCATCCTACTAATAAAGCAGGCCGAGGAGCCGTATCTCCTTATCCATCAGATGGGAACACTCCTAACATGGGAACCCAAGAGAAGGGCGAAGTGCCACGGATCTGTAGGCAGCTGCTCACCAGCCATGAGTGACTTGATTCTTGTGGCCCCTGGTAACATTAACACACCAAAGCGATTGATGACTCTCATGGTTTATAAGTAAATCGTAAGCTTGAATTTCTGAGTTTGACAGGATCAGTTTGGTTTTTGTTGGTGGTGTTGGGTTTGGGTTTTTTGTTTGTTTTCTGGGTTTTGTTTGTTTGCTTTCCTAGTTCTATCAAAAAAAAAATCTGCTTTAGAAGTGAAAACCGTCTTTGGTTAAATCAGCACTAAGCATGCAGGATGTAATAGTTCCCCTGAATACAAAACTACTAATTGGCTAAGGGGCCGTATTTTTTGCATAATAAAATGCTGATGGCTTCACCATGCTGGGGACACACCAGATCCAATTAGAGTTTATTGACTGGAGAAACCAGTCTTATAATTGGGAATCTTGGAAAACGGGCTTCTCGCTTATCTGTAAAAAGTTCAGCTGCCAGGGAGACGTGACACGCCTCTCCCTCCATCTGCAGTAGAGGATAAGGTGTCAGGCATCAGCTTCTGTACCTGCTCTGTGTCCGCAGGACCATCCCCCATCTCACACACGCTCAGCCATGTTCACTTGGACATCCCACAAACAGCATCCTCAGCCTTCCCTCCCACCTCCCTTCGCTGGGTTTCAGATACGATTTTCCTGCACTAATGAGCGATGTCCACACCCCTGTCCCCAAGAGGGGCTCACGCCCGTGTGGACGGAGTTGGCAGCCGGCAAATGTCAGGTGCCACCTCTGCGGCAGCTGCATTGTTGGGGACATGCCTGACAGGTGGCATACCCAGATCATGTGACAATGAGCCGAGTGTAACGAGGCGCCTGTTGTGCCCTTTTTTTTTTTCTTTCTGCCGTTAATGAGACTGAAGCTCTTGCCAGGGCTGTGATCCAATCAGAGGGCCAGCACACCCCATTGCCATATGAGGACTCAGCCCGAGCTTATTGCCAGGAAGCCACTGTGGGCCACCTTCATTTCACAGGCCATCTTTTCCCTCCCTTAAACCGCTAGTGGCCATTGACCAGTTGGTTTTATTTCAGAATGAATACATGCTTATTGTGGTCTGCTTTTATGAAATAAAAGGTCTTTGGTGAGAGCTCCCACTTGGCTAGTTCCAGATTTGCTCAGGATTTCAGGCCCTTCAAGGGTTTGATCTGGACACTTGCACGCAGATCATGAAGCAGGACTCCCCAGAGCATCATTCTGAAAGTGCACAGAAAGCAATCCACATCCAGGGGCTTCTGCATGTGTCATCAGAAGCTTGCCTGTGGCTTGATTGTGTGTACCGTGAGCAGGCATGGCCCCTGTTCAAGAAGCCTGAAACCCCAGGATCCTAGCGTGCTTGGCAAAGAAGCCACGTGGCACCGTGTTCCCCTCTCCTGCCTTTGCCCAAACTCTCCTGCTACCCAACTATTCGTGACCTTGCTATGTCTGCCTTGTTGCAGGAATCCTGAAGTTTCACGAACATTACTTGGGTGATAATTCGGTAGAAAGTTCCAGTGATTTCCAAGCCGGCAGCAGTGCAACATTGCCCGTAGCAACCAGCTCTACACTGGAGCAGCACATCGCCAGTGTCCGGGAGGCCCTGGGGGTGGAGTCTTACTACTCCAGGTAGGAGGCTGTGCCTAGTTCATCGTTGTTCCATTTTGGGTGGGTTTTCATGGGAGATTTTTGGAGCAGGAAATAGTAGAAGAAACCTTATGGGAATCTCAGGTGCTTGGTCTCTACAGTAGACAGCCAAGGGTCTGCCATGCGTGGGCAATCTCTCTTCTCTTTTATTACAATCCCCTGAGCAGGGAAGGACCTCCTCAGAGATGTGGATCCCCTGAGCAGGATGCGGCAGCGACCGTAAGCATGGCTGTGCAGGTAACATGACAGCCAACTTACACAGAGGCAGCATTAGCCTATAAACAGTAAACTGAGTCTGTGCTGTGGCTGACGCAGAATCTGTACAGATGTGCATGTTGGAGGATGGAAGTGAAGAGGGCTGGCCTCCCAGATATCAGAGCTGGGGACAGAGGCAGCTTCCTACAAAGGGTGTGAAAAGGAATGAGTTTATTACAATGCTGGATTAGCTTGCAAGTGGGAGATGGTTTCCTCTAAACACTTCCCTCAAAAAGAGACCACAAGGGGGTGACTGCAAGCGCCCAAGTCACCAGTGGTGAGAAACATTGCACTTCTCCAAGGGAGGCCTGAATAGCATCTACTCAACCCAGGTAGGGCACCAGCAACAAATGTATTCCACCCAAGTCCAGAAGTGCGACTTACAGAGTTTACCCGGCGGCCTCACAGAACATGGGGAATGAGATCCGTACAAGGTCATGGCTTGTCCCCAGGAGCTGTACAGTCACCCAAGCATCCCACTTCAGCTACCTCCTGCCTCCTGTGTACTCTAGATGGGCACATCCAACCTGTGATCCGTACACCACATGTATCCCAGAGAGAGACAGGACTGTGGGTGACAGTGTCATTTTCTCCTCCCAAGTCACGTGCAGCAGGGCAGGGTTACTTACAGCCAGTGGGGGAGTGGAGGAGAGTGAACGGCTGGAGTTTCATGAGAGGGACCAGTGGTCTTGTTTCCACAAGGGAGCATACCAGAACTCATCCTGTGACACTGTAGTCTCTGATGAAGACAGAACTAGCTATATTATGCCCAGAGGACAGCAGTCCACAGCACGAGCAGTCCAGAGTCCTCAGTGGCTGGGACTGGTCCATGGCAGTCAGTGTTGAGTCGGGCAGAACCTCTACTTTTGTCTCAAATGGCCCAGAACCATGGAGCCGTGGGTGTCTCTGGTCCTGTGGGCACTTTGCCTGGCTCCATGTATAGGCGCTTGTTGGGGCACCTATATTACTTATAGAGGGGATCTTCCATGAGAAACAGAATAACCACTGGGCAATGTAGCATCAAGGTCAGAAGGGGATAGAACGGCCCCCTGGTCCAGAGCTCCTGTCCAACCGACATCTGTGGCACAAGTGAAACAGACTTATGTACAACCGTGTCAGTGTCACAGGGAGGGTCAGGTGTGCTGGTGTCCGAGTGAGAGCCCACACAGTCTAGCCCTCACCAATCCGTTCTTCGTTATCAAAATTAGTATCTTGTTTTGAGGAAATAGGAAAGCATACAAATGTCGTTCTCTAGCTTCTGTTTTTATGAAAAATGATGAACAGGCACTGTGGTTGCTGGGAATCTCAGGCCGGCCTGTCTCTGGCCTTGGGCAGTGCTGTGGTGACCACGGGGGTTGGTAGTGTGGTCAACCACAAAGACACAAAAGTATGAATGCCCTCTGAGGTTTGAATCATAAATGCCCAGAAACTAGGTCAGACCAGAGACGGGCAAAGCTGCATCTGCAGACTGTACAGCACGTGTGCCGGGTGACTGGGCTGCTCCCTGGCCCTCAGCACTGCATGCTTAAAGTGAAACACAGGGTGAAGAGCGGGGTAGCAGAGGAGACACAGAAGGGAGGGTGAGCGGGCAAACCAGGCAGGGTCCATCTCTCACAGCCTCAGGGGACTCGGAGACTGGAGTCCGTGGTGCAAGGCTCTTGCCACAGTACACATGAGGGCACTGTGCCCTTGTCTTTACACCCCAGGACTGGAGCAGCTGCTTAGCGCAGGTCCCTGCTCTGTGCTAGACACTGGGATAATCATAACCAGGGCACACAGCCCACTCACCAACCTACAGTATGGTCAGCAGCAGGGTGATAAAGAGTCCAAAATCCTAGTGAGTGTACAAATGGACTACCAGTGTGTCAATAAGTTCTGAGCAGGGTAGCCTGCACCAAGAGCTCCAGAAGACCATAGTGAGAAACATCCTTCTGAGGTCACCGTATCCTGAACACATAATGCCTTTGGAGACAGACCTTTCAGAGTCTGTGATGACCGTTTGGTCTCTTGAGCAGGAACTATCCACAGTGGCAGGGTTCTTTCTGGCTTGGATAGCCCCCTTGAGCTGAGACTGTTCACTCAAGAGATGAAGCCTTTCTTGGGCAAATTCAAAATGTCAGCCAAGGTTTCAAACCAAGGCCTGGAGCATGATAAATGCATGGAGGTACCCGGATGGGACCTGCTGCGTGAACCCTCCTACGGAAGCATGGGAAACAACCGTCCAGTGTGCCCTTTTCTGATAGCAACTGAGTGACCACCGTCAGGTGACATCAAGCCAAACCAGCCATCAGTGAAACTTAGCCCATTGAAAACATACATGTCACCTCATCCTCATTGTCACGTGCCTCTATAAAACCAAACATGCAAAAGAAGAAATCTGATTTTGACTTCCAATAAGGCATTGCTTGAGGTTAGAGGGAGAGCCATGCTGCTTCCCCACAGTCTCAATTAGAGAATGTCTTTGGTGGCACACGCCTTTAATCCCAGCACTCGGGAGACAGAGTCAGACAGATCTCTTTTGAGTTCTGAGTTCAAGGCTAGCCTGGTGACAGGTGAGTTCAGGACAGCTGAGGCGTCTGAAAAAACCAAAAAGGAAAAAAAGAGAAACAACAAGAAGAATGTCTTTGGAGTTTAAGCTCTGCACTCCATTCCGGGCAGCGAGTGGGGCAGGGCTGGCAGTTCCTGTGTTCCCGAGTCAGTGAGCAGTGGAGTCCTCTGCTTAGTGGCTTCTTGCTTAGTGGCCATTTTGTTGGACTGCCCTCAGTAGCTGGGTAACTGAACTCCCAACCCAGGCTTCCCGAGGCCTGGGATAACCCTGTCAGCAGTGTGTCTGCATTTTGTGAGTTTCGTGGAGACGGCAGAAAGGTCTGTGTGTGTGGATTTTCCTCTGTAAAATCAGTACTAGTTTGTAAAGCTGTACATCTGGAAGCTAGAATACCAGATGAGAAGTAGAATACCAAATTATACACTGTAGTTTCATACTGAGTGACATGTGCGTATGCAAGACTCGGACGCACACGAGAAGCACATAGACGGTAGGATGAGGGATGCTGGCTGTGCTTACACTGTTTTCATCATTTCCAGGTTGTCCTGCGTGTTTGTGTGTGGTTTTTACAGTGACCAGATGTTATTTCTTAAGATAGAAATGAATAACCACAAACAAAAAAACCTCTGCTGTCCATCCAAAAGAAAACACAGAAACCTTCCTGTAGTTTTACCGCACAAGGAAATAAACACAAGTTTGGGAGCCCATCATCTTATCTGGTCCTAGTAGATGTGTTTTATTTTCCATTCTTGTCCGCGTTGAACGAGATGCTTGCCTCAGTGGCCATGCCCCCTCAGAGGCCACACCCTCCCTGGCGAGCACACCCTCCTCAACGGCCACATCCTTAATGTTCACGCCCTCCTTGTCAGCCATGCCCTTATCTGTGGCCACACCCTCCTTGGTGGCCACGCCCCCTCAGCAGCCACGCCCTCTCAGCGATCACACTCTCCTCGGTGACCACGCCCTCCGCTGTCCCATCCTGCCCCTTGCCTCCACCACTGCACCTCACTCAGCTGTCCATCTCACTGAGCTCTGAACACCTCCGACCGAGTGTGCTGTAGTGACTTCTAATGTCACACTAACATGTCTCCTCATGCCAACAGAACATGGAAGTCTCTGCGGGAACCAGTGAGTCTGTTGGGCCACCAAAGGGGCCACAGGTGACTCTGACAGATATATCACCAAGGATCTATCTCAGCATGGATGGCAGCTCATGAAAGCTGCATCCCTGGTGTCCCCGTGCCAGTTAGCCTTCCACCTTCTGTATACAATAGCACCCCACACCATATGCATTTGAGGGCTAGATGGGGGTTGGGGCAGGAATCTCAGGTGAGGGTCAGATGACATCCCCTTCCCCTCAGGAGGGAAGGTTTCTTATGAAGGTTGTCTGCAGACTGTCATAGCTGCTCAGATTTCAACATGATGACAAGAGGGGAAAGACAAAACAGGCTGCTTCCCAAGGATCCATAGTGTGAGTCTGAGCCTGTGGGGTCCCCACTGCACCCTGTGCTTTATCTTTATCTTGTGCTGTCACAGAGCAGGCGTCTGAAGACAGGACGGATCGTCCTTCCTATCCTTCCCTCCCTGCTCACTAATCCATAAGTAAATTCCATGGGCTGTCCCTATAAAATTCAATTTTGAACAAGCTGCCATGGAACTAAGGTAGAGATAAAGCATCTGGACAGATCTGAAAGTATTGAAGAGACTGAACCAGTGCCCAGCTCTTCTAGCAGGGGCAAGCCCAAGGCCAGACAATTTCAGTGTTGACAGTGCTACCTAACAGAGGAGAAGACAGCATCCGCTCTCGAAGGCACCCACGCACTTGTAAGGGAGGAGTCAGGACAAACACATTTGTACGGTCAGAGTTACCCAGACCTTAGAACAACCCAGATGCCACAGGACACTATGAACCGATGTCTGTGCTCTGGCTACAAATGTCTCAGAAAACACCAGAACCAATTCAGCAGCACATGGAAAGGATGCCAAGCCCTAGCCAAATGGGACTGATTTCCAGAATGCAAGACTGCTTTAAAACCTGGAGATATTAATACAATGCACCTGACAGGAGGGCAGAGCCCCACCCCTCAGCCCAGCTGATGGGGAAAAGATGACACCTTTTTGTGATTAAAAAACCACGAAAGAAGAACAGAAAGAGGCTCTCAACCTTGTTACATCCACATGT